AAAAGTAGGGGAAAAAAGTTATTAAGCAATCAAGGAAGTCTTGGGACGAAAACATTTTCTTATTGCCATATTTTTATGAAGAAAACTCACCTGAATTTCTCAGAAACAGATTGCAGCATTGTTTTAGACTCCTCCGAATCCGAAATACATGCTATAAATAACAATTTAATTATAAAAGTCTGCTAAAACGTGCTCAAAGTTTCTTAATTAAAGAACGATTATCTCCGATGTGGAAGTTCTGGATGTGAATCGCGTTAACAACATTTACGGTGTTTAAATCTCGCTACTGAATTGTTAAAATAAGACGAAGAGTTGTCCGATCAGCAGCACCCCGCTATGAAATATCCCTAAAAATATAACAAAACCAAGACAGAGACGCGCGTACATTTATCAGTCGATCAAGAGCATGCTTCAGTTCAAACTTCAGTTTAAAATTTAAAATTTCGTCAACTATTCTTTTCATTGTGGAGGAAAATCCATGCAAATTCTATTAAGAAACTATAAGCAGCTTTATTCGTTTAATTATCGGTTCCAAATCTCTTTGTTCTCAGTTCGATTAGTTAATCGATTGACCTGGCTTTTAATGATAAGCCATCTGTTAGCTTCCTTTCCGAAATAAATAAATAACACATTTTCATTTCCAATGGTTCGCTTTGAATATGTATTCCCATCGAGCCAGCAGTTAACGACATTTCCTTGAGAGCATGGATCAATATCAGCATATTACCGACACCGTCATAGCGGAAAAAAATGAAATATTCATGCGTGCGGGTCGAACTTGATTAAATTCCAATTTATGAAAAGTTAATTCTTACTAAAACATTTTGTATACATGTATAATTTCACCATTAGCTTTGTTCACACGATGCCTAAGCTGACAATTATAATCATTCAATAAACTGGCAAACAATCATTGTTTGCTATATTTCATTTTTTTTGTTGTTTCTAAGCAAAATCGTTCTGTCTAATTGAGGCTGCAATCTGAGTTCGTTTCGATTGTACGAAAGAATTCATCCAAAAAAAATAAAAGCCAAATTTCATATAATTTTATGAATGTTATCATATTTAAGTATATTTGTCATATATGGCAGACGTGAAGGCAGCAAATTTCTGCACTTCATACAGTATTGAGAATTCAAACAAATAAAGTGAAAAGTTTGACATGTGTGCCATTGACACATGGCTGAAGATAATCTAATTAATTCACTCACAGGGAGTGAAAAATTAAAAATCAGTTCGTTATCACTGATCCACGTGGAGCAGCTATCATTGAACTGGCTTATCTTGAAATTTTTCTTATCTCAAGCCAAGTATATTTTAAAATGCGAGCGTTTTATTATTGTGATACTGTTCAACGCCAGTGCAAGGAGACCAGAAGCTTGTTCGTGAAAGCACCTGAGTGACTCATTCCTTCATCTTTGACATATTGATTTGTCATTAGCAAAGGTAAGTTCAAATAGGATTGAACATACACAAAATAAATTGTAGCATCAAGCATATATGACCAAAAACGGCTACTAAAATAAAGAAACTTTTAAACCTGAATCGAATAGTATCAACCACCGTAAGGTTCACGAATTATTTCTCATTCTAGAAGCTAGTTCACCGACCTCTATGTAAATAGTTTTACCAATCCATTTTCTCTCAATACAGAATGACCAGATATCGTTTCTGGCACCATACGGGCGACGTACAAACACTTTTTGAACGGCCTAACAGTCCATTAATATTATATTTTTTGGTGTTACAACAATTAATCGTGATTTAGCAGGGATTTGAATTCAATATTGAGCATAAAAACTGTTAACAAAATTTTCGTTGTTATTCGACCATTTTTCGATGACTAGAGGTAATGACTGATTGGGCATGGCGACCTTCAGCCTACGAAGTAATAAATTGAATATTTAGATGAGCTTCTTCGTTGTTTATCTGATAATTCATTTGATTTCAAAGTTAAAGCAGTCACTAAGAGACCATAGGATTAAACAGGCGTATTATTCAAGTTTATTTTACAACTCCATGGCCAGCTCTAATTTGATCCGATATTGGTTTATCTCTCTTTTGTCATTTTACGATCTTAATTTTTTTTTTCTGTAATAATGTTCCCTTATTTGACAGAATTTTTCGAAAGTACAATGAGAAATGAACCTTAAAAGCCATTTTTTTTTTGCATATTTTGTACTGGAGCTGAAATAAAAGGAGATAGCAGCCTGCCTGATCAGTTCATGAGAGAATTCGAAAAAGTTTGATTAATTAATATTTGTCTCTACAATAAATATGGATTTGAAAAGATCCAAAAGCTCGCGGAAATTTGACTTTGAAATGATCATCACGAAAGTACATGTAAGGAAAAGCAGTCAGCCTTATTTTCCGACCGTTGATTGTAAGAGTAAATTAAGGTTGTTCTAGGAATAATTAATTCAACCGTCAAAGATGAAAGATGGTGAATGAAGTGTTCAAATAGCTCCCCAACCATTCCCACCCCCCATGACAGAATAAATTGAATACATAATGATTATAATAAAAAATATTATAATAGTAATTATTTTTACAATGATAGTAATAATAACTGTAAAAACGGATTCCCAAGCTGAGAGCCTGATTGAAACAGGCCGAAAATATTATAACCATTAAAACAACATCTGAATTATCAGCCTCAGTCACGTAATATCTTTACTTTCTTTTCTTATTATTCTTTCCTCAGATGCAACCATCTTTCATCTTATCTACAATTTTTTTATTCGGGATCATAACCCTTTCATCCTCTAATAGAATCCCTTCTGGTTATCAACTATGCCGTGTTGCATGTGCGAACCATGCCAGGAACTGTCGCTTTATTGATGACTGTCCTTCGTCATGTGCTAAGGACGATTACCATTGCTCCCTGCAAGTGTGCTTAGATATGAGCTGCACTTCTAAGGGGAAAAGAGATCAAATTGAAACCACCGAAGTACAGATCTGATGAGCTGCTCAGATTACGAGAAAGACATTACATCACCAGGAAGTCGGATCATCTTGAGTATATCTCATTACGGAACAAGGAAAAATGTATATTGCCTCGATCGTAAAAATGAATTATATTGATTCGTAATGATAACATGATAACACAGAATACTTCTGTAGGTAGTACGGTACTGATCATGATTAAAATTTAACCTTTTTTTCAAATGAACGAAGCCGACATTTTATTTAAAGGTCTTAAAGATTTTTTTGAGACCACATTTCAATGACAATTTTTCTATAGCTTACAATAACATCTTAGACCTTGCAATACGGTTGCTAATGAAGTTTGAGGAGCTCTATAGTTATAAATGGCAGGATTTCAACCGAGAGCCAGCGTTTCTTTCATCGTAACAGCTTTACAACGAATTTTTTTTGTTTCAAGATGTTCTCCTGACATGTACTCTCAATCACAAGGAAATAGTTTAAAAAATTAAAGTGTGACTACCAGCAACTATGTCTCAATAGCGTTGGTTTTTGGGTACAGAAGGAAGACTTGCGGGATTTGTTTTGAAAAGTTCATTCGGATACACCAGCTTCATAGAACAATTCTTGCAGGCTCTCTTCCTCATTTTTCGGTGCCAGACCCTCGCCACCTCAGGCGCCTGCGGTTTTGCTCGTTTGCTGCTACTACAGGCTAAAGCGAATCATCTGAAAAATAATAAAAATTCTTGAAAAAAAGTAAAAGAAAACAATAGTCAGCCAGTAGCTGATGCGAAGATAGAAAACGTGTCTTTATGAATCACAGAGCCAATTGCACAACTAGGCGTGCATTCAAATGATAAAGAGTGAGACTAAAACCGGCAAAAAAATCAGAGCTAGTCAGGCAGGTCACCAACAAATTGACTCCCCCAAAATATCGCTGATTTGATAACATATCCAATCCCAGCAGCTGAACACTAACGTAAAAAAAAAAAAAAAAAAAAAAAGCGGCCCTGCTGGTCAATAAGACCATTCGGTCAACCAACAAATGATTGACTCGTGGTTTGTTGTTATGTCGTTTAACGGATTATTTCATCATAACATGAAAAGCCTCTGACACAGGAACAAAAAGACCATGTAGGCCAACATTTATCTGGAATGTAATCTGAGACATAACGATGGGAAGAGATGCCATTTACTTAATCCTCTGAGAAGAAAAGTGAGTCAAACATTTTTGCTGCTGATACCAAGCAGCTCAAAAGGTGATAGTTTCGCGAATGAATAACCCAAAATTTTGGCCATTTTTGCGCAAAATAAAGAAACAAATTACATCCACCCGTTATTTTTTGGTTACAATCCAGTTGGCGTTTAGTGGGCTCCTTGATCGTATCATGTCACTTCAAAATAGAGAGACATGGTCTAACATAAGAGAGATTAAATTTACATCGGTTTTACCGAATTTAAGATTTGTATTGCGCAATACTGAAAAATAAAAGTCTCTTTTTTTCCCTCATGATTTCGTTAAGTGGCTCTTGGTTAGTGTCACGTATTTCAAATTCGAAGTGACTTAAAAGATTTAAAATTATATGTGTTTTCTCGAATTCGAAGTGAGCATATGCTCATTTTGTGAAGCCAAAACAAATACGACACTCACAATGCTCACCCACGACAGCTAAATGGTATCAACAGAGCATTTAATGCGAAAAACAATTGAAGCATGTCTTTAGCCAAACAACAGATGGCTCTAAAATAATTGCAAGAACAAAACTTTAAAATCGTTAAAAAAAATTATCCCTTGATTTGGGCCATCATCAATTTTGTTGTGAACCGAGGTGTAATGGAGAAGACTGATGTATGCAAATTTGAGCGAGGATTGAAAGAAGCCTTGCCTTATTTACCTAATAATCAATTTCAAACAAGAAATCCTGTCAAGTTAATGACATTTTTTCTTTTCTTTCTTTTTTTTTTTTTTAATATATTCAACACAAATACACACACTCTACATTTTATCACTTTTGGTGTACTGTTTTGAAGTTTTTCGTGACCTGCTGGGAATGCTTTCTTTGTTTCAATGGTGATTAAATGTGATTTCATAGCCATATGAATATCACAGCTTCACTTCAAGGCTGCCTCTTCACGTCGAACTATGTTGATATGTTTGCTTTTAGAGGAAAATTTGAGGAGTCACTATACTGAAATTTCTGGTTGATATTCGCAGTGATTCCGAATGTCCTGCTTTCACTAATTATATTTGAATAATTCTATGTAATTATTTAATTCTTAGTGTTAGTGTTACTTCTTGCTCTCAGCAAAAGCAACTACTGGTTGACTTACATGAACTGTCCGATTTGTAGTACATGACGAAAACAAGCTAGCCAGTTCTCTCCTAAAAACTGGATTCCTTATTCCATACACCATTGGGTTGCACATACTGTTCGCGTAACCTAACAACAGTGTACCCACGTCTACCGCTCTTGGAAGTGGGTTTAAATAGTAAACGTCCAAAAACATGGTCATTACAAATGGTGCCCAACAAGCCATGAAACAGGCAACAACAATTAATAAAGTATTGGTGAGCTTAATTTCATCTTGCGACATCTTGAAAACCGTTTTATTTCTTTCACGACGCGAAATGCTTACGGCCGCATGTTCTCTTTCCGTGCCTAATTCTTCGTTTTCACGAATGTTACCTCTTTGTTGATTTACCCGCCGCGCAGCCTCCCTCGTAAACTTTAAGATATTATAGTAAGAGAGAGACATCGCGATAAGTGGACCACAAAAACATATGACCATCATGAAATACATGTAAAAAACATTAGAAGGCCAAGATACAAAACAGTAAGATTTCCCGGGAATATAACGATATTCCGCCCAGCCAAACAACGGTGGGACAGATAACAACACAGATATTAACCACACGACTGCGGCAAACAAAGCCGACTTCTTCGTTGTGAAGGTGATGGAGTATGTCTTCCACTGTACTACGTAATAGTATCTGTTAATGGCTATCATAGCAAGCGACATCACTGATGAAACAAACGAAAGCATCGTGATGAATCCAAAGAAAACGCAGGCAGTATTTCCAAAAATCCAACGTTCTTTGATGATAGTGACCACAGTTATAGGCATGTTTAACATGGACACGAGTAAATCAGCAAATGCAAGATTGAGAAGAAAACCATTGGAGATGGTGCGAAGATGCTTCTTTCGAGTGAAGACAAAAAATAAAGTAGCATTTCCTAAAGAGGAAACTCCACAGATAAAACTGAGAACTATGGCCTCGATGATCGTGCTCACCTTTTGAGTCATTTTTCGTTCATTAAACTCAAAGCGTTAGTGTTTAAAGATAAATCTTCTTTATGCAAGTCGCCAGCTGACGTAAATGAAGGCAATATGAAAATGTGCGCCAAATAAAATTAATGATGGTTTGCTGAGGTTGATTCTTAAATTTGATTCGTAATTCATTACATTGTTCCTTCTGTATCGTTTAACCTGTTATCCAGTAAAAAGTAAAATTTTCGAATGGTTTTGTAAGGTAGAATAGCCATCTCTCACAATAGGATATTTCAGCATCTTCCATTAAGGCAGTTAAATATTGGCGTGGCGGTGTCTTCGGGCGGTGAATGATTGAAATATGTCAGAATGCACACTCAGTGTGTTGATTCACGATTATGATACCGAGCAAAGTTTCCGCCCATTAAATAAAGACTTTCTAAAAATAATTGGTGAATAATATAATCGTTTCAGGTCTAGCTTTGCAGTCTCCAGATGCAAAACCATATCTTATGAGTCGTTTATAAAAGATTAACTATCCCCTTTGAATACACATACGTCACATGATAATTGGATTTATGTGAAATTCAAACACTTCAACTGGGCCAATTGTTTCCGACGTTTTTGCGAGTAATTTCCGAATTCCATTAATTCGAAAATCCGGCTTTGTCTTACATCATGTAGGTTTCTATCGGAAAATGAATAACCTTACAAAACACACCGATTCAAAATTTTTGGAAGAAAAATAAGAAATAAAATGGATGGCGAATCGACTAAAAAATTTATTCCACATTCCGGATTGCGCCTTCATTTTGAGATTTAGATAGAAGATCACATGATCTTCAGTCTTTGGACAGCGTATATTGTTCAGGTTGTGTCCTTTAAAAATTTGGCCGAGTTTTCCAGATCTATGCCTTTGGAGAAAGTTTAAACTTTTCCTGAATGTTTGCCCTTACGGCATCCTATTTAGTTTGCAACGCTGTGGGGTTAACCAGCAAAGTTAGAAAACTTCGAGTACAATCTAAACACTGTAACGAGCGAAAAAAGAACAAATATGCACATGCACACTCTTCTAGAGTAAAAAAGTTTACAATACGGAGTTTTCTGCATTAAAAAAAAAAGCAACGGAGGACTTTCCATAACTTCATCTAAACACACGGGGGTACTGGGTGCATTCAAGAAAATTATGCAAACCCGAGACGTGGACAACTTTGCATAATGTAGGTGGCAAGCTGGCAGGCTGCCGGTGCGTTCAGTCATTTTCTCTCTCCGTAGTCCATTTGGGGGCCAAAATAAACCCTTCTGATCGAGGATCTAAAAGGTCTCGATTATAGTAACCCATAGTTCTAGAAAAGCGCAGATAAGTTCTCCATCCGTCAATGTTCGATAATTCTTTTTCACTACGTAAACGAAACATGGCAGACTCCATTATCTCATGCTTGCTGAGCAGGTGCTCCTCGGAATTATTATATTGAATAACTTCAATTAGTTAATGATTTTGTTAAATTACTCCGATCCAAAAGAAATATTTTTGCGACTGAATTGGATCTCATCTACATAAAACTACTTGACTAAAATTAAAAAAAAGTCAGAGCCCTTTCGCTCTGAAGAAGGGCTAACGCTCGAAACGTTAGCTTTTAAACACTTCACGGTGGTCTATTTACATTATCTCCTCGATCGTACTGTGGGCGCAAACTCAGTTCTTTTATTACAATCAATAATTGCCAGACGGATCTCAGATCCGCCGTAGCCTAATTTGCATAAAGTTTTTCGGAGGGCAAAGCTCGTCATGAGGCTCCTCAACCGACGCAGCACCACAGATTCTTTAGAAATTTACCCCCTTTAAAATGAAACATTGTTTACTGCTAACCCTAAGCAATTCAGGCTTTTCATTTAAGATGGGTAAAATTTATCTGCTTCTTTCCTTCTTGAGTCCTTCCTTCGACGAGAAATTCAAATGTTAAGAAAGAGAAGATGAAGCAGTCTCTTTGGATGATGAGGCGAGGTGTGGTAATTCAGACACTCCCATTTTCTTTGCAGTTCTGATCTTGGATGAAGCTCTCCTTTTAGATGGGTAAGGTACGTTCCCTACAGAAACTCTTTGAGGTCTTCGGCAGATCGTAAAGACTTGAATAAGTTCCCTTCGAAACGTTTGATTCCTTATCCCATACACAACAGGGTTGCACATGCTGTTGGCATAACCAAGCAACAGTGTGCTGATATCAATTGATCTTGGGATGCGTGATGATGGTAAGTAGATATCTATAAACATGGTGACAGCGAAAGGCGCCCAACAACCGACGAAACATGCAACAACGATCACTAAAGTATTGGTGATTTTGACTTCCTCTTGAGAAGTTCCTATACGTCTTCTGTTTTCCTCCATTTTTTGACTCGCATCCTCGATCATGTTGTTTTCCCTATGTCGATGCATCTGCTGCTTAGCTCGCCTGGTAAATTTTAGAATTTTGATATATGTTATACATATAACAGTTAGAGGGCCGAAGAAGCATATAATAAGCATAAAATACATATAGTAAACATCAGAAGGCCAGAATACGAAACAGAAAGATTTCCCAGAAATAAAATCATATTTTCCCCAGCCTAACAGTGGTGGAATGGATAATGACACAGATGTTATCCACATGCTTCCCACGAACAGAAGGGATTTTCTTGGCGTAAAATTAGATGAGTAGTTTTTCCATTGCACCACGTAATAATATCTATTGATAGCTATCATAGCCAGGGACATCACTGATGAAACAAACGAAAGCATCGTGATGAATCCGAAGAAAACGCAGGCAGTATCTCCAAAAATCCAACTTTCGTTGATAATGGTGACCACAGTTATAGGCATGTTTAACATGGATACGAGCAAATCAGCAAATGCGAGATTGAGAAGAAAACCATTGGAGATGGTGCGAAGCGTTCTCTTCCTCAAGAGTATCACAAACAAAATGATATTTACAAAAACAGACGCTACACATATAACAACGAGAATGGTGGCCTCGATGATTGCACTTGATTTAAGCGTCATTTTTGAACATTAAAACTATCAAAGCATGTCAGAGTAACACCGTTTGAGATGTTTGTTTCTGAACGTGTTTCATACGTGGATTTATATAGAGCTAATCAATATTTATGGGGTTTTTATCATGGTACTTGCCTCCTGCCAGACTCTATTATTCAATTAAACTTTCCATGGAGCAAAATGAGGCCTTGACAATAGTAATTCATTTGGCGAAAAATTATGTAAATATTTTTCACTTCTCCACTGGCGTAAGCATAAGGAATTATAAATTTTTTTCAATATCTTCCCATCGTAGAAATTTCGTTTTAGCTAAGAATAGAAATAAAAATGCAGCCAGACTCAAAAACTTGTCCGCTTTTATACTGTGCACTAATTACCACTTCGGTGAGGTATCTCTTTGTTACCCCGTTTTTCCTGAATACGTCTCTTAGAATAGGCGATCGCCAACAAATAAAGCCCTCATACTACATGTGTTTTAAACTCTTATTCTGAGCGAAAAAATGGCGAAGAAGCGTAAAAAGATCATTTGATATATATGTATACATTGCTGTAGACCAGCCACCTCAAATAGCCTTATATATCAACATTATTATCACCCTTGAATGAAAGTTAAAGCTGGAGGCAAACAGACAACAACATGGTAATGTAAATCTATCAAATTAAATACAGGAAGGCACTGATGAATAAACATCGGTGCCTGACAAAGACTCAGAATAACAAATAACCAATCAATGCATTGCTGGTGGCGAGTTTCATTTTTTTTCTCAGCTACATGCACTTATAAATACTCTCTCATTAAGTGGGAATATTACGTTCAGTTGTTCTCGAAAAAATGTCTCTTTATGAACCTGCTCTGTGAGGTGAGCTAGGTGTGGTTGTTACGCATCTCGATGGTTGTTACGCATCTATCACTTTAAAAGCCAAGCTATCATTTCATCACATTTTTACCTCCATAATTATGAATTATATATGAAATGATGACACTGAATGTGTTTTGCGACCTTTTGACATTAAACTTTTCAAATTCACAAATTGTCTCCAAATGCAGTAATCTTATAACTACATGCGCCGCTATTTTGAATATTGTTTAGCAACCTGGCCGCTTATAAATAAAGGGGTAAGTTTCTAAAGAAACTGTGGTGCTGCGTCGGTGGGAGAGTATAGCAGGTAATTTAGTGTGAACAATCGCTCTGACGAAGGGCTAACGCTCGAAACGTCAGCTTTTTTACTCTTTACGGTGGCTAATTTACGTTTTCAACCCAGTTGTTAACACTAAATTACTGGCCGCTTATACTTGACTTGATAAAGTTGTACTCCTTTTTATTCCCATCTCCTAGCGATCTTCTGAAACAACAATGAGAAATTTAACTTAAATAATGATATTTTTTCTACGATGATCATCCCAGCAGTAGTTTACATGACTAGAACCTCAACCGTCTTCGACCAGGGTACTAAATTGCTTCCAATTGGTACCTCAAAGCGCGATAAGTGGGTAATGTGTATATCCCTTAACGTACCAACTACGCATATATGCGTAGAAATATACGACGTGATTTTAACGCGCAATTGTGGTGAATTATTGGGGCTTGGGCACTGGTGTTTCATTTCAAATGACTTAACATAAAGTATAGTTTGAGGCAGTGAAAGAAATTGGCCGATTTGGCGAGTTGTATTAAAGAATTTGGAAATTTAAATTTCGAGTGTGTATTGTCTGTGGTTTTTTAAAAATGGCGGCGTGCGAAATATCTCCTGAAGCATTCTGTGCGACTAGAAGCGATGAAAACGATGTGGGAATCGAATTTATCGACGAAGACAATTTACCTTTGGCTTGTATCAGTGTTTTGGAGCATCCCGAGTCAGAAGAAGAGATTGACTCCGATGATTTGGCAAAATCTAGCGGGGATGAGTCAGAAGAACTGGAAAGTGAACAAGATGAAGACCCAGGGGAGGAAGAAGAAGTATCGGCATAGAGCGAAGAAATAACGAGAAGGGATGATATTGATTTCCGTGAACTCGTGGGATTGGCAGCAAATGTAAACATTAGATCTTTGACATCAAGCAAAGGGTTTTTTGATCTGTTCACTGCTCAGGTATGGGAGTTGTTAGTTGCTCAGACTAATCTGTATGCAAATCAGAAACGAGGAGCTGCAGAAAAGTCTGTGTGGTATCCAGTGTCTGTGGAAGAAATGAAAGGTTGGGTTGCCATTTATTTGTGTATAGGAATTATTAACAAGCCAAATATCCCTTCCTACTGGAGAACTGACCCCATGCTGTCCACCCCATTCTTTGGTGCCACTATGTTAAAAACAAGATTTCTTCAAATTCTGCGCTATCTTCACTTTGCTGATAATTCCCTGGTTCCCAGGCCTGATTCACCAGATTTTAACAAGTTGTACAAAATTCAGCCTCTGCTGGATCTGATTATACCAAGGTTTAGGGCAGTTTACAGTCCTGAGAGGCAACTTGCTGTCAATGAGACCTTGATAAAATTCAAAGGGAAAGTTCATTTTAGGCAATTCATCCCCATTAAACCAGGAAGGTTTGGAATCAAGGCATTTACATTGGCTGGATCAACTAGTGGCTATGTTCTAGGGAGCAAGATATACACTGGAAAGGAAACCAATGTAGTCCAGAAAGATCTTGGAAAAAGGGCTGTTATGTCATTGATGGAACCTTTCCTTGACAAAGGCTACTATGTGTTTATGGATAATCATTACACTTCTGTTGGGTTATTTGAGGAATTAGAGGGAAGGAAAACTCTGGCTTGTGGCACTGTGAGGTCTAACAGGCTAGGCCTGCCCAAGGACATTTGTGATGTGAAGTCAAGCAAAGTTTAAAGTCTGAAAAGAGGAGAGTCCCTTTACAGACAGAAAGGTAATTTAACTTGCATGACATGGCGTGACAGAAAACCTGTCAGTTTCTTAGGCACTGTACCCACAAGTGAAGATGATTCTGGTGTTGTGGAAAGGTCAGTGAAGGTAAAAGGCCACTGGGTGAAGCAAAACTTTGCCTGGCCTGGTATGGTTAGCCTCTATAATACTTACATAGGAGGTTTTGATGTCTCTGATCAGAGAGTCAGCTCATATGCAAGGCTAATGAGAGGTGCTGTGTGGTATTATAAGATTTTTTTATATATCATAGAAGTGTGTGTTTCAAATGCACACATTTTGGAGAGAAAATCTCCATGTCATACCACTAGAACTGCTTTAGACTTCAGAAAGTCATTGATAAGTGACTTGATTGAAGGAAAGTCCTTCAGAAGGGACACTCAAATGTGGTCACCACCCAATTCTGAAATTAGATTTAATCAAGAACACTTTCACCACCTGGTAAGCAATGACAAAAGATCTACTTGCAAGGTTCACTTACAGTGTGTAGATACCTTTTATAGCTGTGCAGTGTGTGGAGTACGCATGTGCCTGGAGCCCTGTTTCCTCAGATATCACACATTGAGAGACTTCTATTTCAATGATGAAGATCGTGAAGGCCCCAGAAGTCTGAAAGAAGGAGGAGGGAGGCCTCGCACCAGCGGAAGAGGAAGAGTTCTCCAAAATTGAACATGCATGAACAAATGTGATAATTGAAAAGAAATAACAAAGGTAAAGTGATATATGAGACAATGAAAGTGACTTACTCTAAGACTTTCTCAAGATTAGATTTTGTTACTAATAGGATAATTCATGCCCTTACAATAATCTTAATGGGTCAAATTTGTGTGCAGAGAAGTGTTTTTAACCCTCAAAATGATATTTTCAATGTGTGAAGGTCATGTTTCTTTTTTAGAAAAAGCAATAGTTCTGAAATTTATTTGTTACAGGATTCTTTCAATTAGTCCTTCTTGAAACTTCCAATAATTACGCTAATTATGCATGTCGTGACGTCATCATATGATGTGTATCCCATAATAAGTTAAATAAATTGATAGAAAATTTTCCACTGGTTATGAACATATATGGTCATATGGGGCTTTATTAAAAAGAAATTGATCTACAACTGATTTTGTAAACATCACTCGGGTTTCTCCAAAAAAAGTAACATACCCGTGGTATGTTAAGGGATATGTAGTGCGAGTTTGAAGTAAGAATAAAATGGTTTTTGGAGCCGAATAGTATCCTTTAAAAGGGCGATCGACCAATCCAAGGTGTAGTGTATTAGATTTGTGAAAAAGCTGTAATTATGAAAAGTGTTAGTTTTCATTATGAGTGACTTGGGTTCACCGATATGATAAAGGAAAGTTTTGCCTCGGAGTCTCTTCGTCGACACCGCGTAGTTTGAGTATACTTGAATTAATGGAAAAAGGATAAGTAATAATTGGAAAAAAACACGCAAGATTCAAAAGATTTGTAGCTTACATAATCATTTCCATATGTTTAATTGTGGAATCAATAGTTCCGTTTTGAGGGGTTATTACCATTCTATTGAATAGTGTAGAGTGTAAGTGATTTTAAAGGAAGCAATTAGCGCCGAGGTGGTAAAAGGATGTCATATCGAAAAAAAAGTGTTTGAACTGAACCATGAAGTTCAATGGGTGATTAGCTTGCTTTCATCTACAACGACGAAAAATAGGGTACAATTGATTGGAAAACAGTTAAAATCACCAAAAAAGATGTAAAGTTGATCATTAGAGAGTGTCGTGGTGGCCTAGTAAAAATTCAAGCTTTTTCGAGGTTATTCTCGTGTTCGAAGTTTATAGAGAGTAATTTAGTGTTTAGCCCTCAGAGTAGAGTCTTCACTTGGGCTGTTTTGATTAAGCGTCGGATTTAAATGTCAGTAAGCAAATAAAGTATGCATTCCAATTCCCTTGTTTGGGTTTGCGGTCCAACTCCGTTGACTCATCATTCGAATTTTGTTTTTTCCTTCTGTCAACTTCACACAAGAGAATGTCAACAGTTGATCTTCTCTTGCTTCACAGGGTTAGTCTATTACTCTGCAAATTCATTACACGACAAGACAAGCATCAATAGCGTTAACACACAGCAAACCCAAACTTGCCTACAATTTAGGTCTTCCAGGAACCCAACAGTTGACAATAGTTGGCCACTTTCAGTAGAGGTTAGTTAACAATTCTTCACCGAAGTAGTAGTGAATAGTGGTGGATATTTACCGTGCTGCGAAGTGGCGAGATAAATATCCACCTCTTTACCGACACTGGGGTGAATAATTATTTTAGAGTTAAGGAATGGACAATGTCAAGCGTGTGTTCATCCAACTCGGGATGCACGTGGATAGTAGAGAGAGCACGAAGGTAGTGTAGGAGATGTTCAAGGCGCAGCCGATAGCATCTTTTAGGCTACCTTCGGGCTCTCCCAACTATCCGCGTGCATCCCGATTTGGATGGACGCACGCTTGACATTGTCCATTGTTTTTCTAACATAGCGAGTCACTTTTCACGCTGAAAAGTCGCTTTTTCTTTATTGATTGAATTGAAAATTTTCTTAACCTTGCGGGTGCGGACGAAAAATAGAACGATTTTTTTTTTCAAAACATTTATTTTTACACGCTTACATTTGCGAGTGACGAGATAAGCGTATCAAAATAACACACATAAGCCGTTCAGCTAAAACTATTTGACTCAGATGTCAAGGAAAAAGTTCCTTTAAAGTTTATTCATTCAAAATGATGCAGCCTTTAAAAAGTCTGGGGTTTTACAAGTCATTTTGAAGGGCTCGCCGAAGAGACAACGAGTAGCACATTCTGAATCGTGCAGTTTCTGAGAATGGAGTCGAAATTACACGACACTGGCCTCAAATGCTGGTTTTCTATAACTGTAGCAGACTGTTGATTGCTGAACCGAAACGTAAGCCGTGGACCTTGAATACGGCTGGAAAGGACTTCGCTGCATTGCAAAGGCTGAGCGGTCGAAGGACTTGTGTGTTGTGGTAAGCCGAGCTCTGCTTATTCCTATGGCCTGAAATCGCCATGATATGGCGGTTAAGGACTCCAGCATTCAACCAGAGGGTGATTGCTGTGGCACAGACCGAGTGGTTAATATAAACTCTTGACAGCTGAGCTGCTTGACCAATGTCCTTCGGTCGGCACACTGGATCGGAAGGCGCCCAGTTTCCGTTTGGATGTTTTTCTCATTGCACTATGGTGTCAATTACAAGAAAATAAGGTAATCCATCGATTTATTGTCAAAACATTGTATTTGTACTGTATTTGAGACAGAACTTGTATCATCTGTTTATTTTCAATCATATAAGAAGAAAAAAGCTATCTAAAATTGGAACTCACCCTTGAACGTAGAAACGCACCTGTTAGCGCTTTTCTTGGTCTTGTTTTATTGTTTATCTTCGAGTATTTTTTTAAATCCCGCTCGGATAAATTTGCGAAACTAGTAGCACTTTCGCTTTGTTGATGTTTAAACGCTTGCGATGTTTTTGTAACCATTTTAGACACGTTTTCTTAATCTTCAAAGTCATAAAGAAACCCTAGCTCAAATGTTGGGTTATTAGCATCCATTATAATAGCTAAATTTAAGTTTTACTAAGAAAAAGTGCTGAAAAAATTTTTCGCTGGCAAGAAATTCACCGATAATGACGTCAGCCTGACCCATCCCTATGAACCATCCATTTCCATTTCCTTTTCATAAAATATTAGCCAATCAGAGCGCGCCTTACAATGTAACTATATTGTAATATATATCACACAGATACCCAAAAAAATATGTTAATTTCTTTCAATATACCAAAATATGGTCGGAAATTAAACTTTTGACGCATGATTTTGTCTCATAGGCTGCACAGGGGTGAATAATACTTGCTATTCACCTCTGAATCAGCCAATCAGCGCGCGCGAAAAGTGCTATTCACTTGTGTGGTATATGCTAATACAGGTTAGAAAGTAATACTGGATGATATGGCAGTTGTGACTCGTTGATTACAGATAACACAGAGAATAGGGAAGAATTGAAATGAAAGATGCAATCTGTGTGTTTTTTGCAAAGCGTGGTTTGCTCAGCTTTTCCACCCAACGTTGCTATAAATACATACTTGTTAAAAGACAGACTGATTATCAACTGAAGATCTTTCTCTATTTTCTGGCGGACAACCCTCTGGTATAACGAGCTACACTACTTGTAGAAGCCTCGGTGTTCAAGCGGTCAACTCAGTGAAAAAATACGTCTTTCTGGCGGTATTAATTTTCATTTTGCTTTGAGTATAGCTGGAGTTTTTGAAAATCAAATATCGTTCTATGAGTCAAAAGCTTCCGTGCAGTTGTTACTTTAGTAAAGCAAACTCTCATGGCTCTTTGTGGTTTGGTTTCTTGATTTTATGTGAAAGTTGTGTGTGACAACTAATTCGCAAGGGTGGTGCGTAAATTGGGGAACATATGCCACTCATTTCGTTTTCTTCGATAGATTTTACTACTAGGAATGGATTTGAAGTCTCTTTCTGTCTGTCAGCTGACCTCATTTGAAGCATGTCGCAACATTTTATTCCTGTAAGTCAACACTGAACGGTTAAGCGGTCAACGTGACAAAGATCTGGTGAGTAATTTTGTTCTTACTTAATGTAACAGATTACTTTCACATAGTTATAGACTGTAAAAGTTACACTTTTCCAGAAAGCATGACGTGCTCCGGCAACCGCATAGGAACCAGTGCTGCACGTTTCAGCCGTAAACTGAGACAGATTTTATGAAATAAATGCTGTTCTATTTTGCTCAATATTGCGAGAGCTTATAATCCATTTTCCCTAAAGGAAAGGGCGTACATATTTGTCACAATTGTTCAATGCTAAAATTTCACTTCGCAAGAATAGCACTTGTCTAAAGGATGAAAATCACTGCTATTTGTATGGGATGCTAATAACGCCTTTATTGCTATTCAACAGCTAAATCCTCTTTATCCTCAACAATCCTTACTCTCTTCTGGATAATTCTTTCCTCTTTGGTGTTTTTCAACACCAGCAAACAATACATCTTCTCGATAAATTGGTCTTGCAATATATGCATGGAATACTTTCTTAATATTACAACACCCACTCGAAGTCCCAGTCCTCACATAACTTTGAGATGAGAAGACTAAGAAGATTCAGTTTATTCTACTTATCTTGATCAATATGAGTGCTGTCTGTCAAATTCTCTACATTCTTAGGGGAGGATAAATAGCTTAGTGAGTTCGATTCCTCACACGCTCTTTCAATAAACAGTTTTGATACCTCAAGCATTACTGGCGCTTGTACCGCATTCATCTGGCAAGCCATCATGGGACTGACTTGAAAATTGTTCACGTTCACCACTTTAGTTACACGGAAACGTGCACAATTACAGCCCGTGACAAGCTTAATAAGCTCTCTTCTGAAAGCTTGATTCCTTATTCCATACACAACAGGGTTGCACATACTGTTCGCGTACCCAAGCAGCAGTGTGCCGATGTCAATTGCTCTTGGCAATGGGCGAGGGTGATAAACATCAATAAACATTGTGATGGCAAATGGTGCCCAACAAGCCATAAAACAGGCCACCACTATTAGCAAAGTGTTTGTGATTTTAACTTCTTCTTGAGTCATTTTGAAGAAATTTCTACGCTTTTCATGAGGAGCAATACCATTTTCTCTACATGTTTGTATTTCATGTGGTGGCTGTATTAAATTTAATTGCCAGTGATTAACCCTTCGTTTTGCTTCCCTTGTGAATTTTAAAATTTTAAAGTAAGATACACACATGGCAATTAAAGGACCGAAAAAGCATATCGTTAACATAAAATACATGTAATAAACATCAGAAGGCCAGAAAACGAAGCAGTAAGATTTCCCGGGAATATAACGATATTCCGCCCAGCCAAACAACGGTGGGACGGATAATAACACAGATATTAACCACACGACTGCGGCAAACAAAGCCGACTTCTTCGTTGTGAACGTGATGGAGTATGTCTTCCACTGCACTACGTAATAGTATCTGTTAATGGCTATCATGGCAAGCGACATCACCGATGAAACAAACGAAAGCATCGTGATGAATCCAAAGAAAACGCAGGCAGTATCTCCAAAAATCCAACGTTCTTTGATGATAGTGACCACAGTTATAGGCATGTTTAACATGGACACGAGTAAATCAGCAAATGCCAGGTTGAGAAGAAAACCATTGGAGATGGTGCGAAGAATTTTTCTTCTGGTGAAGACAAAAAACAAACTTATATTCCCCAGAATAGAAGTTGTACAGATGAAAATAAGCACGGTTGCCTCGATGATGGAAGCTGTTTCTTGCGTCATTTTGAGACGACAGTAAGCTGATCGCTAAAAGCGAACTTTGTATTTACTTTGTTTATTGTTGCAAGTGTTGTGTTTAATAAAAGACGGAAGAGTTTACTCAAATGGATATCATTAATATTCCACTCGCCTTATCCCCTAAAAGGGGTATGCTAACAATGATGACTGTCTCACGCGTTTGAAATAGGGATGTGCGTCGGTCGAATTCTGGAGAAATTTTCAACCTACTCGCCCTGCTTCGATATCGAGACAGTTGTTTCAAAGTACAAAGAAAAACTATGGGAGTTTCAACCTGATTTAACAGGATATTCAAAACAACCAGTGTTTTTTCAATGAAGGAGCGTGGTGTTTTTTTCTGTGTAAACTATAAATAGTGTCACCACAAAAAAAGTTTAATTTAATACGATAATAGGATCATAACAGTTGAGGATTTATGGCTGAAACGTCTGAACCCGTGATAGCACGTAATTCAACGGGTTGCATCTCAGAGTTTTTCTTGTGTTTGTTGATGAAAGTTTTACAGGACCCCGTAGGATCCTGTCGCCGCTATACGATATTGATGGAATATAGAACGTGTAAATCGCTCGATCGCTTGCATTGTCGGAGAGTTTTAGTTTATAAAAGCAAATTAAACCAGATCGGTTTTAAAGCATATTTCACTTAATGCGGAAAAGCTGCTGTTCTCCCATTGGTGACCCTCAAGCAAAATTTTTATTACGGCTTGACGCGATAATTCGTAAACACTTGTTAATTAACGAGATTCTAATTACCTTTTTTCAGTTTTCTTTTTTGTTGTTTGTTTTTCCGTTTAGAATTTAAACTTAAATTTACCCTCTGCAGCATGCTAAATACTTAGCGCCGCTCGACAGAGAATTAAATCCAGACATCATAAGGTCGCTTAAATTGCAAAGCGTTTTTAGAATTAAAGAGATTAAATCGATAATAAGATTCAGAGGCGTCTCTCCAGCCATCAGGTCTTACAACTCGAATTGTTCTCTTCGCTTTGTCGCGACAAAACTTGTTAATTTTAAATGAATTGTAAATAAAATGAAAAAGATCTTTATTTGCTATTCGGCGCTTTCTTTATCTGGATGACGCACCTGTGCACCTGCTCTGTGACTATAGACGACAAATCAAGAGCGTTCGTCTGTTTGAATGTTTTATTTTGTAATTTATTGTTTATATTACACCAATCAAAGTAAGGCTTATACGGAGGCATTTTAGTACGTAGTTAAATGTATTGTCTTATGATGTGCACTCACAGAAGTGAGCAGAATATTTTTTAAGTTCGCGACATATTCTAACTACGCATTACACAGTAAGAAATTTTATGAAAATAAACATTATCACGTCCCAAATTTCCGTCGTTTAGGTTATGAGGCTTTGATGAAACATAAACATTATCACCCGAGTCGCGAAGCGACGAGGGCAATCCAAATTTCCGTCGAAGGAAAATCACGCGCGCAGTTATTTTTATCTGGGAAGCAACGGATTAGCAATGAACGGATTAGCCAATTTAACAGAAACGTTAATTTTGCATTGATAAGAAACGTTAACAAATAACCTATGGGGAGGAAATAACGAAATGTTCCCCCCAATAGCGAATTTAACAAAATGTCAACTTAGAGAGCTTATTCCATGGAAATACGCACAGACGATTTTTTCTTTCACGAGTTGCGATGCATCAGAAAAACGAACGAGTTAGCACAGCCAACGAGTGAGTGTTTTATGCATCGCAACGAGTTTGACATTGTCCAATCCGAGACACGGACAAGGCAACTCACAGTATGTGTGAAATATAGAGAATAATACATGGGATATGAGAATTTCCCTTCGAGGTTTTAACTCCATAGCTCACGGGTGAGCGCAGCGAACGAGTGAGATGTTGAGTTAAATACGAGAAGAGAAATTTCATATCTACAAGCAGCTGTGTATTATTTTGTTTATCATATAAACACAATAGCCTTTTACTGACAAGAAAAGTCTACTCTATTAATGAATGAAAATATAAGGATCGACAATCCCCGAATACAAATCGTAAAGTGCATTGGCGCATTCAAGATGAAAACATGCGTTGTATCACTACAAAAACAAACAATGGGCCTAATTTTCAATATACAAAATTCTCAGTTATCGAATTGGTCCTTACCGACAGAAGAAATCATTCAGGTACCCGGCCAAAATCGGCCTGTGGCAAATCTTCCTGTGGTCGATTTTCGTTCTCAGCCGCGAGAAATGCCATTGCCAAATCCACTAAATACGTGAGTTTCGGTTTTTCATTTCGTATTTTGGTTTTCTTCCCTTTCTAGGAAATTTGACCGACACTGTCTATAAGCGTCGATACGAATATTTCGGTCTTTTAGCAGACATAATCCGAAAATATTCTGACAAACGACCTTGGACTGAGAATGGTGAAGGCTTTGCCGTTCATTCATCAACCTAACCGAGTGGCGCGAAAGGCGTGTGACGTGTCAGCAGCTGATTGGCGATATCAAACACACGTGAAAAAATGTCGTATTTTTCACGTGTGTTGTTACAACTTTTCTCAGGGCTGGAAATCCTTGTATAACACCGTAGTTTGTATGATAAAAACCATTAATAGCATGATAACTACAAACGTAAGCCTTAAAGCAACCCTTAAAACCCAAGAAACTTATCTTCACACAATACGTTTCCTAAGGTGTTGACATTATTTTACTAAAGAGCCTCTTTAGTTGGTGATCATTTCCTATAATCTCACGACCTGAATGCTTGATTCAGGAATGATATTGTAAGGAGAAATTAGAAACCAATCACACAAACGGGCTAAAAGGGTCAAGGACACTTTGTTATTGCGTATAACCCTACGGTACGGAAAGCAGCTAATTTCCAAACACGCTCCGGCTATTACGGACTTGCGCTATTGTGGACACGATCCCATTGTCGCAAGGTCGTCCGTATAGATAGAGTTGACAACTGTGCTTCCCCAAGAGGATCTGGAAGCCGAAACGCAGCTATTGGTGTCGTCGTCACTATTATTGTCAGCATTTCTTTTCACGTCATTATCAACATCACTGTCATTATTATTATGGTTTTTTTTCCTTTTTTTTCAAAATCGTTATTCTTATCATTATCGTTATTGCAGTCATTCTTCTTGTCTTTCTCCATCCTCTTCTCCTTCTCCTTCTCATTCTCTTACTCTTTATCGTCATCGTTCTCACTCTAGTCCTCCTTCTCCTACTCCTTCTCTTTCTCATTTTTCTTATCCCTCCCCCTCTCCCCTTCCCCTTTCCCTTCCTCTTCTTCCTCTCCCTCTCCCCCTTCCCCTTCCCCTCCTCTTCTCACTCTCCCTTTCCCCCATCTTCCCCTTCTCCTTCTCCCTCTCCCTCTCCCCCCTTCCCCTTCTGCCTCTCTTTCTCTCCCTCTCTTCCCCCTTCCCCTGCCCTTCTCCTTCATCTTCTCCTTTTTGCTCTCCTTCTCCCTCTCCTTCTCCTTCTCAATCTCCTAGTCCTTTTCCTTCTTCGTCTCTAACCTAAGTTTCTATTCCATTACTTATTTCAAGTGGTTAAGAAATTCACAAGAGACGCAACATATAATATTTGCGTCTTCGGGAAACTGCGTTTAAACTTACAAATTGAGGTTTGAAAGAATATCTTAGTGAAAACAATCTTACATTTGTCACACCCTATAAGAGGCCCTAGCAATCTATGGGGGCTGCGCGCGTAGGACATAATATTTGAGCAGTAGCTTTAAGTGTCACACAGAGCAGCAAACTAGAACTCTACGAAACAGACATGAAATTGAAGAGGGGATTTCTTTGTTCGGTCTTAAAGGTGCCATGATAACTTTTAAAGCAAGCTACAACTACAAATGCAGCAACTACTCAAGTTTATTTCTATCAATTTACTAATTTCATCATCATCATCTTTTATTTGCCATATTTACACAGTACAAAAAAATTATTTACAGCGATTATAGCTAGAAGGCGAGGAGACCAAGGAAGCCACCGGGCTTATGGGAGAGCCACCTCACAATGGGAAAGCCACCTCCACCAATTTGTTTTCCTTTAACGCAAGCAATTCCTTTCCAAAGGGACTTTATAGGTAATTTGTTTTCCTGGGAATCCCGCCTAACTTCTCTGTCGGACATATTATTGATTGTTGCTTGTAACAAGATTTATCAAAAAATAACTCCATGACGTGAGTCGAAACAAGTAGAGCATTGTTCGTGTCTTTAGACTTTGGCCCCCCTGTCCACACGTATCCGAATAAATTTGAAAACGGATAAATATTTATCCGTTTTCAAATTTATCCGCGTCCACACGTTGCCGTTTGTGAATCGTTTTTGGTGTCCACACGTAAACGCAAAAACTATTTGAAAACGATGACGTCGCCTACTGAGCATGTTCTTTAGAGCAAAACATGTGCCCGCAGTCTCGCGTATCCTGAGCCCGAATCCTCTTGGCTGTGCTCTTGGGCTTCTCAAACTTATCAACAGTGTTCGCATGGCCAGAAATCCGTGACAGCATGGCCGCCACGCACGCGCATCGATGTCGAACTCGGTCTTAGATTACAAACGAGTCGCAAACTCACTACAAGGAAAACAGTGCACTTTCAGCTAACCTTCTTTTAACAATTGGAGCTTCCAGCTTGAAATGAGACTCATTAGTACCGAAACTAGAGCTTGTTTATTCGCCATGTTTTCACTAATGGTCGATCGGCCGAGAGCACGCGTTGGACTAGGTTTGAATTTTTACGTCATCGTTTTCAAATAGTTTTCAAATTTATCCGGATAAGGCGTCCACACGGAGACGCTTAGCCAGCGTTTTCAAATTTATCCACTCTGGAGAGCGTTTTCAAATTCATCCGTTTTCGGTGTGTGAAAACGCCGTTTACGTATGGACGCAACCCGTAACCGTATAAATATTTATCCGTTTTCAAATTTATCCGGATACGTGTGGACAGGGCTTTTGTCTCCCCGAGCAAATGAATCTTAATTACGATCGGCGTTAGAGCTTGCTCGCCTCAATGAGCACCTTTTGCCTAATGAGTCTCTGATTATTTCTTACCTCACGCCTCATTGCGCATGTGCTGGCCAATTGGTCTTTCTGTGCTCCTCATTCTTGTTATAAGTTAGGGTTCTTTTCGAATATTGTCGCGCGATCAGATAATGCTGGGAAAGTTAGGGTGATTTTCATAGTTCGTGGTATCACTGATTACTTTTCTTGTTAAGTTCGTCATCAACCGTGTGTTTCGCTTTTGTTTCGTTGCCTTTTGTTTGTCGTTTCACGATTGCCATAGTTTGGTGAACTTGAATTTGTTAATCTATTTTTATTGCATCGTTTTTATCGTATCTAGTGGTTCTAATTCGCCTTATTTTTAAACCTGCTTCCGAACGTGAACAGCGTCTGTGTTCCGAAGTCTATGGTTTCAGAGTCCGCGATGAGTTTGAAAGACCAACCTTTTAAACGCAAGATTGCATGTCTCGCCATCACAAGGTGCCACAACAAGACAAATGGTTGTGACGATGAAAAGAATAATTATAAGCATGTCTATTTTTAAATTCTTTATTGTTCTAAAAATACCACTAAAGAATATCCAGTTCTTAAAGGATTGTCTTACCTCTTGGGATACGTATTTACCTTCCTCAGAACTAAACTGCTAGTCGCGCAAAGATAATTTTCTACTGACGTCGAGGTGTTAATTGACTCTAAGTATAATGATCATGTACCTAAACGCTCGAATGAACCCCTCCCCTTCGCTAGTAGGCTTACTTAAAGTTTCTCGAAAGCTTTCTTCTCCCATAGAATTATTCTGTTTTATCAAGATAGTTGATGCGATAAACACTCTCATCTTCATTTGATTTGATAAATAAATGCAAATTGGTCACCGCGAAGAATTTCTAGTGCTTTGGAAACTCTTTACGGTGGCCATTTTACCGTTAGAGACTCAGTTCATACAACCAAATTATCTTGTTATACTCTCCCACCTACGCAGCACAACAGGTTCCTTGGAAACTAATTCCTACATTCCTTTCTCAAAGTGCCCTTCCCCCACCCTCTTCAACCCTCCTTTTTCCGGCGATCTCGTCTCCCAGACTGAAAACTCTAAAATAACAGTGGGCTCTCTCTTAGCTAAGCTCAGTTACTGAGCTTTTTTGGGTCAAGTGTGCATCAATTTGCGTGAAATAAAAGATATTCTGTCGCCTGTGAGTCACTTTTTTACAAGCACTTCACAAAGTACTGTGAGGAAGAAAATATATGAGAGCATCATCTGTATGTTCATATTAAGTCCTTGGAGGCCATATCTGTTCTCTACATATTTTGATTACGTAAAAAATCTTTAGTACGTTTATATTTACTTCCTACACAATGATGTGTAAATGAACCCATTCGATCATTAACACCAAAGCTGGTCAAATCTTAAAGTATCGTCGAAATCTAAAATATTGCTCCAAGACACTAATAAAACAACTGTCAGCACGTACAGGGTTTTCATTCAAGCAAATATAGTCATACGTCCGAATAGAGAAGTTAATCACTTGATAATCTCGTTTAAGATCCAACAACAAAAGGCCCAGTCGGAAAGGTAATTGAAACATCAGAGATGATCTCGTAATGTTTGGCGAAAAACTTGCCACTTGCTAAGTGTTCGGTATACTTTAAAATATCTATCCCTCTACTAAACTGTAAAGTTCAATCCATGAACGTTTTGTAACTATAGGGACTTCTCTGAGGTTCTACAGTCCCTCAGAATTATACTTTGCTTGGAGGAATTGAAGTAATGAAAACGAAGCTCAGCCAGACTTTTTCAGTTTGTTGAGCAACTGTGGGCTGGGTGTGTTATATTCCCGGAGAGTCGTCAGTTTATCCATAAAAAATTGCAATCTCCATGGTTTTGCTCTACTTACGTCTGATCATGAAAATTTAGCAAAACCATATCAATTTTCTTCGACTGTCAATAGTTGGTTTGAAATATGACAACTAATTAAACGATCAGGCTAAAATCTTCCGCAGTTCTCAGATTGCACAACTCAAAGTCTACGATAGTGTATTTCGAGCAGTAGAATTTGATTACGACGTAATAATTCTGAAAGATATTGTAAATTTATCATTCTTGAAGAATAAAGACAATATTATGGAAGATTACTTTTAAGGAAAAATTGGATCGTTTAAGCTGATAATAACTTCGTGGGAAGTAGCAGTCGTTAATATTCAAGTGTTTTGGAATAGTATCTAAAAAAATGCATCATCTCTGGTCGTCTGTCTTATACGACGTGTCTCCACGAAGGCCCATATAGTTGATTACAGCTGATCACAAAAGAGAATTGTTTTAGTAAAACATGCACACATACAGTGATGTTGGGTTTCAGTTGAGTCAAGTATTCTTCAAGTGAAACTAAGAGAGTTAACATGAATTAGCCTAGAACTAAATGAACATACCGATAACGAAATGATTTAAGACTTGAATTCGAATTTTTATGTGCCACTTGTAAACGAAATAATTGTTAAATAATGCGTGGTTATTCCCTCTTTGCCAACCATATTTTAACATTAGTAAAAGAAAACTTTAATTCCGTAGACAGTTCTATTACATCGTACGTCGCTTGAGGAACCAGCGACCTTAGCCAGTCAGAAGGGAACGCTGAAGGAAACATTGATTAAAGCATAAATTATGTTTATTTGTAGAATTTCTCGTATTGCTGGATGTATTTACCGTCCCTCGCGACGCCAGACCCTGGTTTTAGCATGGCATGTGAACGAAGCGTTGAATTGATCAAAACTGTTAACAATTCGTCGTCGCGCTTCCAGTTTCCATATCACGAAAACTTTTGTGATTTCACTTTGATATTTCATCTAGGGCGGCAGTGAAATGTTTAAAATTTTAAAGCACTCAGGTAGAGCTATTGTTCTATTCATTAAATCTTTTGTTTCACCACTTCTATCCTTTCCATTACCTTCGTGGTTTGCTTTAAGCCCTTACTCTTAATACAAAGCAACCGTGAGATTCTAGATCTTCAGATATTGTCCAAACATGAAAGGTAACGCAGACCGGTTTTGTACTCGCCTAAAACTATTTGTTGAAGGTTTTTGAAAAGGACTTAAGTGAATAATCATTCAGTCCAATTCAGGGACCTCAAACCTCACGAAGTAAGAGGACGCTTACGCCAAGAATCTTTATATTATATCAGTATCGCCTTCTACACGCCGAACTGGAGCCCAAATCCTATAAAGTGCTTAACAGGGCGTAGCTCGATTATCAAATGATTTCCTTCATTCATGGTATTGTAGTTGAAACTAATTAAGAGTTAATATCTCGCTTTTATACGAAAAGTCTCAGGATTCTTTCGAGTCAGTCCATTAATTTGTACTCAAATATTCATCTGTGCTTGTGAGTATTCAGAGCCATAAGTTTGAAATTAATGATAAAGCACTTTTTGGTTATGGAGCAGTACAAAAATTTTTGTTGATCGCCTTGGATTGATTGAACAGTGGTAGCAAAGTGAATTCTGTGAATATAAACATATCCTTTTACCTCCTCCCCTCAGAAAAGTATCAATTTTATGGCTCCTCCCGATCCAGTCTCCCCACCCCATTCCCGCAAGTCAGGTACAAGTGCTTTTGCAAGTGCGATAGGACTTCATTAGCTCTAAATCGCTTTGTAATTAGAACATACTTATCGAGTTAGGATACTTAAAAATACGTGATATTAACGAATTTCTTAAATTTCTTAAAATTCTTCGAATAGTTAGCAGTTGAAATTAATTACGCTTTCTATTTCTGTTTTTCGAAATTGCGCCATACGTTTTAGGCCCTTTGTCGAAACCGTCCGTCTGCCACTGAGCAAGGCGCGCGCGCTAAAAAAGAACTTCAGAGGCGGATATCCGCTTTTAAATCGAAGTATTTGGCATGATATTCCTTTCCGTTCCAAAGAGTAACCAGCTCAACAATTCAGGAGTCAAATGACACAAATAACTACAAGGGTTAATTTTTTTTGAACTGCAAATTCTCTCAAAGCCGGGTGGCTTCATTATTACTTAATTGGAACAAGTATGTGGAACGGTTACTTTAAACGGCTTAAAATGGCATTTAGATTCTTTGAAACTGCATGTCTGTGTTAGTGAAGTCAGAAATGCTGACTTTTCAACAAAGATTTACTAGGGGCAATTATTCAAATTTTTCTTTGGTAAGTTTTATTCTGTATTTGCACTACTTCAAAAACAAAAGAAGCAAAGTTAATTAAAAATCGCTCAGTTATTTGAATCTTTCGGGGTGTTGATCCCAGTGGCAAACATGTTTGTTGTCAGATTAGCGACATCGTAAGAATTTCAGCAATTTCCAATGTATTTAGTCGTTTTATCCGACATTTTTATTTCAATTTGAGTTGAAATGTTTGTAGTTTTGAATTGCGATCATTGTTCAAGAGCCCAGCAATACACAGATCGTCTCTAAGTTGTTCTGGTGATCGATGGCAGTTTATGGCTAGCTAAGAGAAACATCTTGACCTGTCAAATGATTTTCACTGTATCTAAGCTGACTAGCGGTTACAAAAGAAACCGACCAATTTGACCCCGAACCGATGAAGAGACAGCTTGGTTATCACTGAAAATGAAAACTATATTGATCCAGAATAAAACACAAACTCTTCGATTATTTGCATATTGCAGTCTTCAATACGAACAACCAGTATTGCAGGTGCGTCAAAAAAAAAACCCCGCAGTGACTGTGGTAATCTTTAAAGCGGAGTTTCTTTGTCTGTATTTTGCCTCCCTGGGGGAGGGGGGTAACCAAATCTCCGCAAGGTTCATGAACTACGTGCTGCTCCTATTACTAAATACAAAAGTTATTAACCGCACAATAGGTGGGTGACTTTCAAGCTGTCAAAATCTAACAGCTAGAAGTATTCTCTTTATCTTGCATAGTCCGAGTTGCAGTACGTGTGGAATGTTTCACTGTGTAGAGATTGACAGGCGAACAATCTAGACATCAGACTAATTTGCGGTTAGTCGCTTAATATAGCTAAACAACCACGAGGAAGAAATTAGTATCGTTTGAATAATCACATGCGCTTGTTTATGAAGTACACCACGTCACAAAATGTTTGCTCTCACTTGTGTGTGAAGCGCCAGATTTTCAAAGAATGCTGTGTGGAGTGGCGAGCATGAAGGAGATCGGGTATAAAGACAGGCTGTGGCAAAACAGCACTGCGGATAGCGACGGGATGTACAAAACGTGGGAAGTAAGTAGGACACACGACCGAGAACAACACAACGGATGGGATCAAGTGAAGATCAGGCATTCTATCTCCCTTGGAGACGTTCGATTGGAGGGTTTTCCAACCACAAGGAAAGGCGAAGGGATTGAAAACCCAGATCGGTTCTACAACAGCGAGCGAAGAGAATTGTCGAGGAACAGCACAACGAATAGGGAAGTGAAAACGGATACGCAGGCCGTGGTGCGACCCCAATTTCAAATTACTATCGAGCAGCCGATCCGACGTGTCACTCCCGCTTATAATGTAACGTTTCTATCACAATTGTCAAAGACCCGCAATGGAAGACGCGCTTCGGATGGTTTTCTTGGATTCTCTGGGAAAACAAGCGCTCCAGTATTTAGCGCTGTCTCAGAAGAACACAGCACTGATGACGACAGCGTCAAGGTTAATTCAATTACCCCAAACAATTCCATCAGCAGGGCTTCCTCGCTGAATCGTCGCCGATTTTCCGATGGTAGCTTTCATAACGTCGCAGGGTATACAAGTTTCAAGAAGGTCAGCATCGTGTTGCCGAGGCCGCGAAATAGTACGAATGAAGGTTCTGATGAGTGTGATGTTGATGACAAAGGGTGTGAAAGCGATGTAAGAGGAAAAGATACAGAAAGTGCTGATTGTAGCAGAAACGAAGACGACGATCAGTGGAAGAAATTGGTTGCACAAGCGCAAGGTTTCAAAGGACCTAAAGTAAACGGGGTTGGCAAAGTAAGACCAGGATTACAGGTGGAGGACGTTAAAGGAAACATTAGTCGCTCCATGGAGGACGTGTTCAGCGACATTAGCAGCGAGGCATCGTTTTCATCAAACAGTTCTTATCACTCATCGTCTGACAGCGATAGTGCCGTCTACAGCACATTAACAGCTAAGCCGATATCCGGCGATTTAGCTCCTTTCAAGGACGATAGCCACACTAGTTTGAATACCGTAAGGCCAATCCGACGATTTTCCTCGGTGCAATCGTTAGATTCGTACCCTGCAGGTGGAAACCATCCCGCACGTAGATATTCGGTTGCCACTTTAAACCCAGCACGCTCGTTTAATAACTCAAATGCTACAGCTAAGCTGTCCGGCTACAGCACGCAGAGCGCACTGGAACACGCCCGACAGTTACTCAGCAGGCTGCAACAAGAAGGAAAGTATAAAAGCAAAAAAGAAAGACTGGACGAATTGAGTAAAGCGCTAAAGTGGATCCTTGAGGAACTTAATCGTATAAAAACACCAGACAGGGACCTGGTCAGTTTATTTATCAGTCTGCGGGCGAAAATAGTGAACTTGAAAAGTGAACTAAAAGCGGAAGAATTCGATGCCACCTGTATTGACCGCAATGAAGTGGACAGCACCCCACGAGTCCAAACACTTCTGTTAACTGAGGAAAGGTTGACACACGCTCACTCGAGACGATTTAGCTGGTGTTGAAAAGAAAATATTCTTTATTGTAGGTAAGTAAATTGTTGAGAAAATTGTTTTTCTTTGTTGTATGTATTGTTCCGACACACTCCTATGAGTTGTACATTGCTTTGGTACTTAAAACTTGGCTTACTATTATACATTCAATGCTCTAACTCAGCCGCGCGCTACGGATATCAAATTGTGTTGACCGGCAATAATTGTTTGTATCGCACCTCGAAATCATATCAGTCTCTGTGTACATTATACTTCTTTAGTCGTATCACCCAGAAGTGAACCATATCAACAACTCCAAGGTGCATTTTCTTTTTCTCGAACTCTGACTTGCTATGATTATTATTGTCCTCTCAAAAAAATTTTTCGTGGGAAAAAGCACTCTAGCGCAACATTCGATGTAAAACGATTGATCAGTTTTTTTCAAAACCAAAACAACTCATTGTTTTCTTTTCTAACAAAGAAAGCCTTTTGTGTTGTAAATTTACTTGGAACTCCCTAAAAGGCTCAGGATTGGACGTAAACACTTTAGATTTAGGAAAACAAGTATGGAAATTATAAACGAAAAATGTTTTGAAAGAAAACAGTACCCTTGTGGAAGATAACGAGGCAAATAGGTACTTCAAGATGTTCGTTGACTTCCGCTGAACAATTAATTTGGCCATCATTTCATGGCAAACAAACTATGAATAGAAGAGGAAACCTTTTCCAAAGCTTTTTAATGCTTAAGACAGTAGTGAACTTCAAGGCAGAAGACCTATAGGAAATGTTGATAGATTAGTGTCGATTTTTGAATTGACTTTGCGTGTTTCTGAAAGAGGAGTCATTCTTGAAAAGCAATATTACGCCTTGCAGGTCACGAGGTGAAACTGCAGTAATCCTTGATCAAAAGAAACGCAATGCAAACATTTAACCACAACGTCAAATCAATTAGACATTTTCAAGTTTGTTTTGGTGCGAGCCATTAAAGCATTTCATTTGGTAATCAAATGTTTGGTGTATCCTGTGCCTTGGGGCATTACTGTCAGTAGAGAAACTTGAAAAATGGGGCGTGGATTGAATATTTTCACCGTGTTCGATGATCAACTTTGAATGAAACGTTCCCGCATTTTCAGTTTGAGATACGCAAAAATTCTTTCAATTTCAAAAATGTTCTAAGTAAATAAAATATATCTTAATCAAAATCTTTACTTGTTCTTGATGCATCGCAACGAAAACGTGAGTGAATGAACCGATAAAGGTGTCAAACCGATTTAGAAATGGATCGCATAGTTTTGGTTAAACGTAAGATTAAACTGAAGTGTTATCTTATACGGGGGATTTTGAAGGAAGTCGTAACGTCCATCGGAAGTTCATATCAACTTCTCTTAGTTCACGGTTCTGGGAAGTCCCTTTCTCGGATTAGTCAAAACATCACGTATCTAGGGGCTATTGCTTTGGAAAATCTAATTTACTTAAAGCGGTTGCCATAGTTACTCCTATCACGGATGTGAACTTTGATAGTTATACGAATTTTTACACTTTTTTGTGTGGTATTTTTTAAGCTTTGTGTTATTTCGTTTTTCTTCATTTCATTTTTATGTTATTTTTCTTCATTCCATGTCAGCTGCTCGTTTCACAAGGTCACCTTTGAATGATATCATAACTTAGTTTTCTTACTTTACACAGAGCAATAAATTTTATAAAGACTTTTTTTCATAAGAATTGTGCTGACTGTAACTCAGATCTCTTTCACTCTACGTCGAACTTTCATCAGTAAGGTTTAAGTTGGTTAAAAACCAATGAGTTTGTAGTTTCCTCATGGTTCTACGAAAGGACACGTTTCATCTACAAAAAGCCTAGAGCTCGGCCGCTTAAATCAGCGCTCAATGTACTTTTCGCCTTGCACTTTGATTTCATAAACTCAGTTGATGATCAACTCAATGGATGAATGGATTTGAGGTTACATTCTAACGTTCTTACATTCTAACCTCCTTAAATTCTAACTCATTCCATCTGAAGTCTTTATTCCCCGGTCTATTTGGATCATTATCGTGTGATTTCACTTTGAATTCCTATTTGTCTACAATATCTGCTCCACTGTTTATTTATGAAACACTTCACCAATTTTTAGCGTTATCATCAAAAGGCACCTCTGTTCCTGCCAGCAGTGCATGAGGCTGGCTGATCTGAAAAGATAATCCATTGATCACAAGTGGTCCCAAAATAGACATCAAGGCAGCTTAACCGCCTATGTAGTATATCTAATAGGATGTTATTCACAATATATTTTCTGTGTCTCAAAGTAGTCACGTTTTGCACGATACGAAACCAACATAGGTCGAGTGTTTCATTGCACAGGGCTCTTCGAAAACCTTTGCTGACCATGTACTATACCAGCAGTGTCGACCACCTGTGCAAACTAAGCTACAAATGTTTTTTCTTTACTTTTGATCGATCAAACAAAATGGAATCTCAGAGTATTACATACAGACATTTCTGATAGTGCACGTTTACGCCGCTGCGGACAAATGTCAGACTGAAGGCGCCCTTTAATCGTTATTCCGCTGCAATATAAAGCTCGCATCATAATAGGTTGTTAATTAAGAAAGATTCCTAGACATTAAAAACAATGACGAACTCTCAATTTCTTTTAATGAAGGCAATTTTGGTCCCTCCCCCAAAAATGTTTTTTAATCCAGGGGAAGATAAATCCGATAAATGGATCGTGAGTGCTTCTGTTTTCATGCTAATTTCCATGCAAAAATCCTGAGGTAGGTACACTGGATTTCCCTTAAGCCTGCTGGCTTTATTTGGCTCATGCTTGTACAGCTAGGATCAAAAAAATGAAATGTAGATATTGAGTGGCTTTCATCTCACATTTCAGGTACTTTCTCAAAAAAGCGTACTTTCAATCCCCCCTTACTATTTTTGCAAACTGATCACATGAAAGAATTGAAGGAAGAGTGATCTATGATTTAGTTTTAATATGAGACGCAAGATGGATTTTTTTGACATGTCACTACAATGGGGCAATTTTTTGTTCATTTTTATGATCACACTTGGAAGTTTTTCATGCTCTTTTTCACGAGCTGTTGCGACAGACTCGAATCTTTCAATACCCATACCCGTTCTCGAGTCACGTTGTATTTTAAAAACGTGACATAAAGACTTTCCTACGGTATTTTTACCGAAAATGAAGGAAAATGAAGAGAGCGCGGCTCGATTGTTATGACAGATAATTTGTTAAATCCGTGGTTTAGTTTAAGTGAATAGAAAAACACAGGATGTAAAAGGAGAAACTTAAATCGTAAAATAACTCAGCAAGGCATTTCCTCATTAGAAGTAATCTTTAATTTCCATAGCAAACAGTTCCCTGAAAGCTTTAGCGACTGCTTTCTCGTACGTCGCAAACTTCAAACAATCAGTTATAACTATGTTATCATAGGTGGCCATAATAGACATTTTATACACAAAATGTTTTTGTTGGTCGCGGCAGAGTAGTTCCTAAAAACAATACATCTAGTTGCATTATTTTGTGACGGGAATGTAGTGTCTCTCAGCGGTGAGCGGTAACTGATCCCATCGGGTTGATAGAACACCAAGAAAACAGCATGCGAAACTGCCTCAGGGAAATCAAAATACGTGACATAATTTTTTAAACCCCAAGACATTTGTTTTCAAAGTGAACCGTAATTGAGATTGTAAAGCTTCTTAAGCGTATACGTGAGGTAAACAACGGAAGTGAAGTGCAAGCTCGCTGAACCAGAATTATATTGCAGACACGTAGGAAGTTGAAATTTTGGGTTCGTTGTTGACGATATTTTTTTTATTTTTCTTTCTGTTACTCTCTTTTCTGCGAGTGTGGCTGCATTAGAGCCGTTGCCAAAAAGTGTCACGCACGGGGATCACTGAATCAGTAAAGCTATGCAAAGTTAATTGCACTTTTTCAGGGTGACCTCGAAAGCATTGTCCGTGAAATTGTAGCAGCTGGTATATTTGACAACAAAGGCAATAAAAATAGATCCATGACAGATCTGTGCTAGTAAAGTAGAACTTGATTACGTAGACAATATGAAAAGTGATTTTAACGAAGTACAAACATCGTTTTCCCAGTTTTACACTCCGTAAAAGAGTGTACTATCGATAGAGTTTTAGTGAATGCGCTCGGTGTCCCGGAGATTCTTTGTAGCAGCAAATTAACTCCCCTTGTATTCTTGAGTGAATTTGGAAATATCAAGTCCTCATCCTTTTCTGTTTTTTTTATTCTCTCCCTAGCTTTTTAGACATCCACGACAGAAAGATGCAGTCGACCAGACTTTATCTCGTGGGAGATTTATTTGATGCCGGTAAATGTTTCACAAATGTTGCCAAGTTAAATATGAAATGAAAAGAAAAGAAACATAAACAAAGACGAAGAAAAAAGATATGAAGACTTTGAAGAGGAAAGCGACGAGGTCTAAAGATACTTTTAGAGAAGAAACTGTCGTAACATTTAAGTGAAACGAAGAGGCATTGTATAGTAGATAGGTAAAATAGTTTTTATAAAGCATTTTTCATCTATGTTTTACTACATCAGGCCAAAATCGCAAATTACTTATTAACCATATTGAAAGTGTGAAGCTGATAATGTGGTATGGAATTGACAATTAGGAGTGCCTCATGAATTTTCTTCAATTCGCTCTAAAATTAGGAGAGTATAATAACAAGAAGTCCTTGGATCTTCTTACACAGCTATTAAATAGGCCGGGCTGTTTCAGGTTCTCGATCAAAGTAGACGAAGGAAAGCGGGGGCGAGCAAAAATCAACGAGATTTTTGGTAGAAGCGAATTCTCGTCCCCTTTTTCGCCCCCCGTTTTTCTTTTTAAGTATCTTTGCGGTGTGAGAATATAGAAAGAGATTACAGTTAATGAGCTGGTCGTGTAAAATTTTATTTAGACTTTTGCAAGAACGATTTATCACAGTTCTTCCAGAACCAGTGAAGTCTGAAAAGAGTCAGGTCGTTCAAGCGCGAGTGAGGGAAAAACACCCAAGAAAGGAAGACATCAGTTTTCAGAATAATATGAGCGTATATTTTATGCAATGTGGTCCTCAATGAAACCCGGCATGTGGCGCTTGAATTGAGCAGAAGTTAGTCTTTACTTGTATAAGTTTGGCACAGTTCAGAACTAGTTAACTGTGACGCAGAATTCTTCACCTCATCGTAAGAAAAAACAAAAATGTAATTTCGTAAACAAAAAGTAGAGTATCTATTTTTTTTAACTACATATAGTCTATACCATGAAAGCTTGTACCGTATATGAAAGCGGATGATTGATGGAATAATTAATATCAAGTACTTAGCCCAGACTAAACTATTCGGCGTTCGTAAACCATTATATTCAGTAATACCAAAGGAAGGTGTATTTTTTGTTTTGCTCTTTAGTTCTTGTATTGAGTAAAATTTCGATTTTTCTGAATTATTGTGAAATACTGAACTGAATCTTCGAAACAAATTAATGACGTTTTTGTTTAAAAAAAAAAAACAAACAAACAAACAAACGAATTCAAATTGAAATGAGATGTTGAGTTTACTGTCATCTCTATTTTCCCCAGAAAACACTTACATAGAAACAAAGGCAGACAGACTTGGCTAAGTCAGTGCAAAAAGAGCCTCTGTATATATTCTAATATTTTTTTTGGCCATTCATCGCTCGCAAGCAGATTTATTTATTTATTTATTTTTTATCTTTTCGAAGGTTGAGAAAGGAAAAAGAAGAAAAGGCTTAGAGGTTTTCACCCTTATTAAGCCTGAGCTCCCTTCAAACCTGCTTCATCCCCCTCAGTATAAAGCCTGGGTTGGGGGTGTGGGGGGGGGGGAGGGAGGGGGCGTGGAGTTCAACACACGGATCTAATGCTTTCCACGTTTGCAGCAAAGTCACACGGCAAAATTTACCCGGAATTACGCTCCCTTGGCTTCTCATCCTAGGTAGATCTGATAGAATAACAGAGAAATATTTCCTGTTCATCGAAAATGTTCATATGTTTTCACGCTATTAACTTGAAATGCTGTAGAGGCAAAGAAGGAAAGGTTCTTGTTACCTGCTGTTGGCTTGGTTTCTCATTTCCCTCCCAAAGGTCTCCGAGAACAATTTTCGTATCACGTGCAACGAGACTATTAGTTAATTAGAGGGCTACAAATTTTTCTAAATGCAATATTAGCTGAACACCAGCTGTGTCTGTGCCGTGACCCCTAATTCGTAATCTTGCCTAATGGTATATTGGTTTCAAATGCAAAATGCGTCAACTTTCCTAGCGATAATTTCTTCCGTTTTCTTTTGTAGCCTTTAATTACTGGCCAATTTATTGTCTAGTTATCTTTCGAAGGTTGAGGATGGAAAAAGAGAATGCCTTAAAAGTTGCCACTCCTCTCCTCCTTAGTAGGAAAGAAAAAGGCCCTACACTTAAATCGAATGTTTCCCTTGTCTGTCACACGGCAAAGTTACACGGAAAATTTGCACGTGATTACGATCCCTTATCTCCTAATCCTTCTGATAGCGCTAAAAGAATAACAAAAATTTTTGCTTGTTCACCGAGGATTAAATATTTCTTCACATAATTGAAAAAAAAAAAAAAAAAACACTGGAAAGGCAGAGAAAGAAGGTTCTTGTTGTCTGCCGTTTGCGTATCCTCTCCTGAACAATTCTCGTTTCACATGCAAAGAGACTACAAGTCACGTTTAAGGGCTGGAAATTTTCCTGGACATTTCTGTTGTTCAATAAACCCGTAATCTTATAATTTTCAATAGTATTGCGTTATACTACAATAAACATTTCACAGTCAATTGTAAACTAGTCTCTGCTCTTAGTTACCACACCAACGCTCCAAAATTTCTTTGAAAAGACACCAACGTTAGAGTAGCCACGTGTCTTTTTGGTTGCTTGGAAATTTCAGAAGCAGAAACTTTTTGTCAACTCTTTCACGCCCGTTCAAAATTGTTCACCTTGCATGATCGAAAGAAAAGAACTCACGTTTACCGGAAACAACTCAGATCAAGGGAGCAATTAACAGATTTCATTTCATTTACACAACTATTGTATCATTTACATTTTATCAACAACATCATTATTTGCATTTTCAAAACACTCGACGCGTACATCTTACTACGAATAAACGCAAGCGTTACTTTATTGCATCGCCGTGATTCTAGGTGTAAATCTCAACTGTTCTATACCTCTGAGGCATGTGCAGGCTTCCGTTTTTTCCTCCGAGTGAAGCAGAAAATAAATAACTTTACACACTCGAATTCTTTCAAACAATAGAATTGAGCAAGAGACGCTCAGGGAATTGGAGCACGAAATGATGGCTTTCTGTGCCATACCCGACCACCGATATCTTGTTGTTACAAATTGACCTCAAAGGGAGCAATTTGAATTTCTGTATCTGTCATCCATTTGCTTGACATTTCGTTAACCTCACAGCAGGAAAATGACTTCTGCACGTGGTCGAAGTCTTCTTAATCTGCGTCTAAAACTTTTTAAGTCAAAAAATTACAACACAATAAATTCTCTTAGCTTACATTCAGCAAGCTGTGAAACACGCTTCTTTTATTATCATTTCGAAAGTACCTTTCTTCAAAGCATTGGACTTTCTACTGCATTGATCTTGGCACTCAATAATTGCACTCGAAAAAAAACACACTTGGCTGAGTATTTCTTACAGTAACAGAGATTAAAGCCTCTAATTTTAGTCAATACTTATAAAGCGCAGACGGGCCTAGACATGCCTCTATTTCGAACCAATTCATTATTGTCTTTTGACGGTTGATTAGATAGTGTTAAAAGTTCATATAAGACTTGCTCTTCTCGGGAACGTGTTGTGGAATTCTTTAACTAACGGAACATACGAGAAGCTAGCGCTTAAATTTACAGAATGGTCCACAATGTCATATTCGTACGACTCGTCTAAGGCGCCGTTCAATGCACGTTGGAGTTTAATTTTTCTTATCCCGGCTTGAATCTTAGTAAATGTTCGCATTATATCTTTATCTTGAGCTCGTAGTTCAGCCAGTTCTTTTCTGATCCACTCGAAAGCCCACTCGATATCCTCGATTCTCTCTTTTTCTGTTTTATGCGCAACGTTTTTAATATTCTGTAGAATAGCTCTGGCCGTTGGTTGACTAGATGAGTTCCATACAGTTGGATTGTTCAGTTCTGAGAATCGTCTAAACGGCTGTGACTCTAAAATGTCCTTTGAATTGACTCCATTTGGGCTGTCGAATCTTCCCTCTTCAAACTCAGCTCTATCCAACTCGAGCGAAGCTTTTTTCAACTTTTGGAATTCTTCTTCCAGCTCGGCACGTTGCTCTTTGCTGATCACTGTGCTGTTCATTTTCGCTATTTGTTTGACAGTGTTTTCATTTTCTCGCGTTGGTTGGCTGACCACTGCATAAGTGCAGCCAAGTGAAAAAGTATTCTGTGATGCTTTTGACCTTTCACTGCTTGCTGTCATCTCAGAGGCGTCTTGGACAATTACTTCTTTACTTTGCCCCCCATCAGAGTCTTTTGTGACTTCCTCCCACGTATGTTCAGGAACCTTTCTCATTGGGAAGTTTGGCGATGCGGGCATGCTAACAGACTGCTGTGGAAGCTCGATTTTCACTGTTTCGGTAAACAAACTGCAAACAGGTTTCTCTGCATATGAGTCCTCCATTGCCTTTGGAGCATCATCTACTTCACTCACAAGGTGAGCCACTATCGGAGTGTTTCCGTCCCCTCGTGAAGATTCGGAAACACATCGTGCCACTTGAGAGGATTTGGTAAAAATTTCCGAACCGGTTCCGACCTCTTGTTTACGATCAACACGATCCTTTTTCCCTTGAGTAACTGTTTCGGCTCCAGTAGACGTTGGTGGACTGTGTTTCTTTTGAGGAATCTGCACTGATACCCTGAATTGTTTCCTATTCCTTCTTCTCTCTCCCCACGGACGCTTTGCATCTTGTCCATCTAAGCCTCGCGTGTCGTTGTTGTTATTGACATCTAGTGTATGCATTGCAAAATGCTCGCTGATGACCTCCATGGGACTCGCCGCTATAGTCCAACCCCGTGGCCTGAAAACATTCTCCTGCAAAACATGAAAGCTGTTCTTCCTAGCTGGTTTACCTTGTTGTAGGTTTTCTTGGCGCGCGATATTTGGCGGTGTAATCAGAGAGATACTTCGAGTTGTGCGCCGGGGTGACTTGGTTCCCTCTCCTCGCGCTCTTTTCCACTTGCTGTACAATGTTTCTGAAGTGATATCATTTAGAGATCTTGAAAATGTACGCAGCTTTTCAATGTCTAATTCTTCTTTGCGAAATCTGAATAGTGAATCTTCTACTTTAGCAGTCATTCCTTCACTTGGTAAACCCACCTTCTCAGTGGACATCTCGAGAACCATTTACCCAGCACAAGTGTATTCACGTTGTACCACACTGCTGACTACTAGTTTCGAATTCCGATGAACTCAGCTTTACACTTTTTAAAACTGTGGTAAATTAGATCTGTTGGGGAACGTAAACAAGAAAATGAATACCTGGTATGTTAATCGTCGAAATCTAGACAAAGCTTCAACAGAAATAATTAAAACAATAATTTTCAAATGGACTAATGGAATTTTTTCCCTTGACATTCGTATTTCAATCAGTAGCTCCGAACAGATATCTAGTTAGCTCTTATGTAACCGAGTGTTTATGTCGTATCAACTTTGTAAGATACGTGATAATGTAATAATAACAAAAGCTCTCAGTTTATGTGGGTAAAATATTGTTTGACTTCCGTTTTGGGGCAGTCCAAGCTTTTAGCTGTGATTGCTTTCCTTTTGTCTCTTAGCAAAAATACTGAGTTGACACCAAGGGATCATGAGGTGTCAAACTGGATGCAAATACAACGAAACAGAGCCTTCTTAGAGCCATACTTGTCAAAGATGGTCTACAAAAACAAAAAGCCGGTATTATACAGTTTTTATACAAGAAAAGTCTTAAACATCCACGAAATGCCATGTGATGTCACATATTTAAAACAAAAGTGCGCGCTATTTTTTAGTTCAAGAGAGGTCTGTTTTCGAGCTCTTTTCAGCGACTATTTCTGCAATAAGAAAAAGTTGACCATCTAGCTGTGCTGAATGCAGCGCTATCAATACAATGTAGTTGGATCGGGCTGATCCTTCGACAGACGATAAGCTCGTTCGTACATACAGAATTGACATTTTTTTCCCAATTTCTCAAAGATAAGACTTGAAGTTTGGTCTGGAAATGTCACAGTGGTCTTACCTGTTATGCAATATCCATGGAGGTGTTTTGTTACTAGCGAGCTAAAGAAACTGAGGTTTTGAATTCCAGCACAAAGTCTCTTATTAGTTTGTGAAAAGTACTTAACATTCCTCGATGAATAACAGGGAAAGCTAACAATAGCTCATTCCTTGCGTTAATCCATCAAACAGGTTCCCATGAATCAGGCGATGGTTCTTTTAATATCACATCATGTGCACTACAAAAGAGAAGAAGGCAGCCATTGTACTCATATTGGTCCCAATAACAATACCAGATCGTTTGTAATTGTCATGGAAATACAGAAATACCTCAAGAGTAAAACAAATCAGTGAAGTACCCGAGTGAACGATTGGACGTTATTGAAGTTATCTTGGGCGGGAGCACGTACAAAGTCGTGAACAAAAAGAAATCTCTGTGTATTGTTTTAATGTGTACCAGTCACGTCCACAAGAATTTCCAACCTAGTTCAATCGTACTCTGCATTTCATTCAAAGAATTTCATTCACGTTAATAACTCAAATAATTTGAGAAAATCTCGTGAGGCCATGTAAACAACAATCCGGCGAAATGTCATCTGCACCGATGCAACAAAAACACCTATGAGTTTCATTTTCCAGGTTAACATTAAAACTGAAATATAAACAACTTTCTCGTGTTTGGCTTCATTGGTGATTGTGTGCAAAACAAAATTTACTTCAGCAAACCGGCTTTGCGTCCGTTGCAAAGAGCCACAGCAACAATTGAAAATCATGTCATTTATTAGAAAAGAACGAGCGCATGAGAACTGTGATGCTATTGACAAACAAGTATGGTATCATTTCACCGACCTGCAATTACTTAGGAATTAGGAGGAGCACAGCTCAGCTGAATCCCTAATCTCCGCCCTCAGCTACACGGCTTTTGTTATGTTTAGTTACTTTGTTCTCTGTGTCCTCACATTATCCTCAAACAGCAACTTTCAAAACACGAATTTTTATTTGACACTTCATTTCTTAAACTTTTGTTAAGTCAACAGCTGGGTTGGACTCAAAAGACACTAAGTTACACAAGGTTGGCACGTTCGTAAGATGACTACACTAATAAAATCACGACACAGATCGACTTAACGGGGATTGAATGTGCATGCGAACTCATAAAATCTTTGACGTAAATGGGCCGGTTTTGAGGTTCATCGGGCTTAAGGTATCAAAGTTCACAACGTAAGCACAGGTTATTGTGCTGTGTACCGCTTGGTACACGAACCGGAAAAGAGGGTTTAAGTTAGTTTTCACAATAACTGAGCCATGTTCCTCTCTTTCATTTAGTGTATGTTCAATTCAGAATTGTCAAGAAGGGGAAAAGAAGACATGTCACCTCACGTAATCATTAGAAACACGTGTTGTTCTACATTACATAACATGTTTCTCGTATCAAAAATTTCGGACAGATCAAGTAGGAGCAATAAAACCCATCGCACCTCCCCAATATTGGATGAGGGAGCGGTGCAAATGTGCCCTGATAGAAATGGTGGCAAGTACCAGAGGTTTTAGTGGATTTTACAGTTAAGATGATTCCTCAGTATTGCAATACACATCCAGTTCTGCACATAAGATTACGTAATTAGAAATAAATGGCAACATTAATTAGCATCGTGTTTTTTCTCACCGGCAAGCTCGCTGGGCATAAATATGGGCGTATAATGATCATACATGCTGAGACTAGACTTTCATAAAACACTTGAGAGAAGTTGTGACAGGTCTTCTTCCCTTAACCGAGTAGGGCGACCCATAATTTTTTATTCAGCATAATTTCAATCACATTGGTACCAGTAATTAGTAAGATTGGCTCTGCATATCTATTTACACTGCTCCTTTGCAAGCAAGGTAGTTCTTGAAACACAAATTATCGGGGCATATGCAAGGAAAGTTTAAAAAAAAGTCGGCCCAAAACCTTTTTTTTTCTGCGGTTGAGAATTCCTATGATCATATGTAGTACTCTAAGTATCAACAAAGATTCCCTTAAGATCGAGATTGAGAGCAACTAATAATAAATTGATGGAATTTATTATTTTCAAGTTCTTTATCGAGCATGTCTCTTAAAAAGCAATTTTTTTTTTCGAAGGAAGCGTTTTTAGATTCTTCTTCCAGGCATCGTTCGTCAGGTCCCAGATTAGAGCTTATCAAGTATCCAATAAAAAAAAATTATAGAGATGTTTACTACTCGCGTTGTTGTTCCACACTCGCTTACAATTTCCAAAAAACTTCATATACGAATAAAATTCTTTTCATTCTGAGAAGCTTACATGAAACAGGTTTTCGTCAACACATGCAAGGAGTACGTCATTTATTCTACTTCATTTATCCACGTGAATTCACCGTAGTCAATTTCACCGTCCCCGTCCTCATCCAACATGTCAATCAATGCGGTCAGCTGATCATCGGTCATGGGCACACCAATGCCTTTTAGCCCTTGCCGAAATTCCTCCCTGGTCACTGATAAGCTATTGTCTTTGTCAAACTGGTTAAACAAATCTACCAACCGATAATTCTTCTCTTCGACGTATTGCTTGAGAATATAAATCAAGTCGTTCTTCTTGTTTTTTCCGTAAAGATTGTCAAGTTCTTCCGATAGGTTTCCTGAACGTTTGCTATAAGTGCAGGTAATGGTGAGTCCCGGATGTTGGCCCAAAAGAAGCTCTACGAGGGCCTGGGTCTCTAAGGTCACCACAACACTGTTGAGTAACATTTTTTCTAACGCCGTATCAAGGTTGTTCTTCATGGCTGTGAGAAGGCCAAAAGCACCAGCATTTTGTAAGGGATTCATTCCAATTCTGCAATGAAGTAACGCGAGAAGGTTATCTTTAATGAGTACTTTCAAGTCATACATTTAAGAAACAAACATCATCAATATTAATGAAATAAATCCGAACTTGGTCTGTGTATGAGATTAAAATGAAGAAATAATCCCCGCGTGTGGCTTCGTAGCTCAGTTGGTAACATCGCCCAGCTATAGTATGTGGGAGACACGGGTTCGAATCTCGTCGAAGCCTGAAAGTTCTGTTTCTGTATTTTGCTTCAACTGTAACTCACTTACGAGAGGGTCTCAATGGGGCGATAGCTTACACGGCTAACGGTAAAAATTTTCGCTATTTTACGGCAAACGGTTAATATGATTATTGTCACCACGAATTTTTTCACTGTTAACATTTTTACGACTATCGGTTAAAATTTGTCAATTATTACGCCATAAGGCTAAATTTTTTGGCCGTTTTTCGGCCAGCAGTTAACCCTATCGAGACTCTCAAACGAGGATCATTTCTTTACTTTGGAAAAATTTACATTATTTTTAACTAAAGGAATAACCCAAATTTTTTATCAAAATTGTAAAACTGAAGTAGTTAGGAACACTACTCGTTCGTTAGGCCTGTTACGCCAGGGCTTTCGTCACTTAGCATTTTTCTGAGTCTGCTTATGTAAGTCTGTTAGGATTAAAAATGTCTCTAGCCATGAATATCTCGCCCACCGCTTTAATCAACTCGCAATCAAAATAGGTCTCTACGCCATCCATCGTTATCTCGTCAGTATGCAATATGTATCTAGGTATAGTACACTCGTTACAAACCTTAATATTTTTAAAGTGTTATTGACTTGAATTCCTTTACTAAGCGCCAAAGCACCTTGAGTGGAAATCCGGTTGTTAGTCAAATCTATGTCAGTAAGTGTGTTATTTTCTTTAAGTGATTCTCCAACCGCAGCTGCACCTTCATCAGCAAACCCATTCCAAGATAGGTTGAGTGTCTTCAAGCTGCAGTTGGCGCGGAGCCCTCTGCCGATAGCAATTCCACCCTTTCCTCGTAAATGATTCCAGCTAAGGTTGAGATATTCCAATCCACCATTTGCATCAATGGCCGGTCCTAGAGTAAAAACATTGTAAAATTGTTGTTGTGCAAACACAAATAAAAGGGTATAGTTGGGTAAATAAGACGCAAAATCTTTTATAAACTCGAGGCAAATTACAACTCAAGTCTGTTAAAATTGTTTAAAATATTAAAATAGTGAGTTTACTTAAACTCAAAGAGAAAATCCTCCTCTGATTTAAATTGTTAGTTCTAAGCTCGTCGTTTAACTTCCAAGATCTATTTGATCTGCATCAGGACACTTACGAAACACGCGGGTAGATATTATTTTCGTAATACCAGATAGCTTAAAGTAACTGTCTTAGAATAACTGTCTTGAGAGCAACTGTCCCCTCAGAAAAAACTGCATGGATGATACAATCTCAGTTAACCTTAACCCTCTCTAACTGCCGCGTCAAATGACCTTTAGTAAAAAAAAACACTTATTAATTGGTTTTAGCCCGATTATGAAGTGCGATCTCAAGCTCTGGCAGTGAGTAGTTCGAAAATTTGATGTCGGTGATCGCAATTGACTAACATCTCGTCGACCTGAGTGGAAGTCACCATCAGCGTCAGCTTGTATGTCTGAAGTTGTTGAACAATTATTCCGCAAAGATGAAAAGCCTATTTGTATGACAACCCTGGAGACCAATTCGAGGACAATGCCCAATGGCCATCTTGAAAATTAGCGCTTTGGTATTATAATCACCTTGTTCTAGATGATCAGTGATTAGTTGACCAATCAGAGCGCGCGCATCTCTCGAATCTCTCGAGCAACTAAACGAAAAGTGTAGTTTGTGAGTCCTAAGATTAATCAAAATGACGGCAAAATTGAACACTGTCAAGAAGCCAGACTTACAAATATGAAAGACGACTGGAAAACAGCGCTTCGTTTGACTCTAATGATGACTTCTGTAATTAGGCTGTCGAGGCAGACGTCAGTCACTGTTACCAACAACAGACCTTTTCAGACTGCGTACCTCACCTGGCCCCGGTTATTCGAATGTTGGATAACGCTATCCACTGGATAAAACTCTATACGGTAGATAACGCTATACGTTTTGCTATCACTCATCCACCAGATAGCAATTTATTTGTTAGATAGCGTTATCCGACCTTTGTACAACTGGGCCCTCTACGATTACTCTACTCGATCAAAGTTTTGTATTTCTTACCGAATAAAACTCCAGCTTCTTCACAAAAGTTGTTATGACTCAAATCGAGCCACACCAGAGTTTGATTTACACGAATTCCTTCTGCCAGACA